CCCCAAAAAAAAACCCCATCCACACTTAATTTTCAAATTTTCAAATGTAGGAATCGTAAGGAAATCGTTGTCTCCCTGTTTCTAGTCGCATCTCTCCGTCCAGGGGAAGTGTGCTTTTGTTTATTGTTATTGATGTCTCCAGTGGATAACCCAGATTTACGACTTGCGTCAAGAAGGGTGAAGCTCACATTACAATGTCCTACGTGATTTTCTCATTATTTTAGTCTATCCACATTGACAGATGATCAACAAAATTTTCAAATTTTCAAATTTAGGAATCGTAAGGAAATCGTTGTCTCCCTGTTTCTAGTCGCATCTCTCCGTCCAGGGGAAGTGTGCTTTTGTTTATTGTTATTGATGTCTCCAGTGGATAACCCAGATTTACGACTTGCGTCAAGAAGGGTGAAGCTCACATTACAATGTCCTACGTGATTTTCTCATTATTTTAGTCTATCCACATTGACAGATGATCAACAAAATTTTCAAATTTTCAAATTTAGGAATCGTAAGGAAATCGTTGTCTCCCTGTTTCTAGTCGCATCTCTCCGTCCAGGGGAAGTGTGCGTTTGTTCCATTAGTCGAGGTTTTATAACCCAGGAAAGCCTAGATCGGATAAAAATATTATCAGACAGACCGCCATACATTCATCAAAAAAAATTGGGTGGAAAGTCAACAAGAATTATCTTTGGTCTCTGAAGCAGTTATGACAAAAGGTCTCTTTCTGGGAGTTGTTATCGGCTTTTTTACGTGCTCTGGATCATTATCAAGATATATTTACTAGCTTAGTATCAAACATGTTTAACAAAGTGAACTTGTTACTTATTTGAATCTCTCTTTTTTTTCTTTTACTTCAGAGTCCAAAGAGTAGGTGGTAAAAATCAAGAGCAGATTACATGAACACAAAAATGAGAGCATAATTATACTCGTAGAAGCTGAAAATTAGAAACCAAAATAGAGAAAAATAGTCCGGTCAAACAGTGATGATTTTTAGATCTGCCACTTTACTTTGGCTGTTGCTTTTCCGACACCTAAGCTGCTTGTTTTCTGTAATCAGAATCTTTGTTTCTGTGACTTATAAGAACTTATAAGCTCTAGTGTGTTCCAGGTGCTCGCTCCTCATTGTTTTCTACGTGAGCATCGGAGTTGCCGTTCAGATATTTGTCCTGAAAAAGTCTGGAAAGGACGCAATTCCAAACAAAGTTTTCTGGGTGGAATTGCCTGGACTCCTGAAGGTAGGTGAAAACCTAAGCTGTCGGTTATTGTTTCTTTGTTTTCATCTTTGTTCTCGCTTTTCGCTTTAGTTTGAATTGATTAGATCCTTTTCTGTTCCTATTTTTGACATTTACTTCTTTTTTTTTGGGGGGGGGCTGGATTTATTTTTCTGATTTCATTATAAGGTGTGTTTTTTAAAATGCAGTGAATAGCCCGAATAAACGGTACATTGTAAGCATGAGCACCAAAACTACTGGTTTTCCATCACCACCACCATCCAACCTGAACCCACCACAACGTCGACGCCAGACATACCCAAGCAACAGTAGCCACACACACTCACACTCACTCATATTCACTCACAAACACACACACCACCCACCCACCCCCACACCCACACACACACCCACACACACACACACCTACACACATGCACACAAAGTCACTCACGCTTACACACACACCCAAACACACATACTCACAAACTCATACATACGCTCACTCTCACACACTCACACACACACACAAACACACATAC